AAAAAAAAAAAAAAAAAAAAAAAAAAAAAAAACAGTATAAACAGTATATTATCGTTAACAAAAAATAAATAAATAAATACGAAATAGAAATAGACAAGAAAAAAGTTTTATCAACTAATATTTGCTATTAAATTTGATCAAAATTTTATGAATGTATGAGATCAGCTAAATGCTGTAAAAACCACTTTCAAATCACTTACATTTACTTTACGTCGCATGTTCTTTACAGTAATTTAGACTAACTGTTTTTAGTCTTACTTCTCAGAATAAAAATGCTCCATTAACAGCAAAAAAAAAAAAAAGTGTGTTTTAAATAACAGTTTTTTTCCTAAAGATTTATTTTAGAAAACAGTTTAATAAATAAAGCTTTTTAGAATTTGAATGCAGTTTATTATGGTTATTTATTTGTTCAGAAAACCTACAAACTACACAGACTTTATTAAAGAATTTTTTTTTTTAAATTACTCGTTTGCTTAGTATGATAATTTTGCTTTACAGATGTAAAAATTGCAAAATGAAACTTTAAACTTTCAGCTTTAACTTTAACACTTCTTTCTGTGTTGAGCATTTTTTTTTTTTTTTTTTTTGCTTTTTTTTAAACAGCAGATTGCCTCTTTTAAAAAACGGTGGTTTATATTTGTTATTTATCCTACAATTTTATCGTTTCTTATAAAAATGTCATTTGGGTTAAAAGGGTTGTTGTTGACTTAACACCCCATTCACTGTTACACAATGTCGTCCTATCAGTCTGATTACGGCAACCGGGGGTTGTCATGATTGGAAACTGACAAAGATCTTATCGTTTGTTATTCCACCCAAAAAATGTTCAATCAGGACACTCTAGGGATCTGATCAGAAGCTTAACAAAACTCTTGGAAACTTACTAAATAAGTGATAAAACAAAAAAAAAAAAAAAGATGAACAGAAGGTAACAGTTCTGTAATACTTACCGCATTTTTGTCAAAATCATACTCCAAACTGTAGGAAAGCTTTCCCAAGTATTTCTTTTCCTTATCTTCCTCCTTCTTTTTGTACAGCGCACTTGTTTTTGCCGCTTTCGTGGCAGGGTCTTCTAGAACAAAAAAAAAAAAATCTATGCTTTTCTTTCCTTTTTTTGCTGAGTTCAGCAATTTTTCATTCAAATACAATATATCTTAACTGAAAAAAAAAAAAAAAAA